ACACACACACACACACGCGCGCTCCTCCTCCTCACCTTCCTCGCCGTGGCCGTTCCGGGCACGATGCAGTCATCGCTGTCAGACTGAGCCTCTGCAGCTGCTCGGACGTCCTCCACATCTGGACAGGAAGAAGAAGAAACCAGCGTCGACACTTTTGCTCTTTTCACCGTTTAAACCACAAATTTGTCACAATTCTTCTCACGTTTTGTTTTTTTGATGTTTTTCTCTGTAAACTTGTTTTTAGATAAGTTCTGAGTTTTTGCACTTTAAACTATTTCAGCTTTAAATTTGAATTATTTTCTTGAGTTTATATTTGATCAGTTTTTAACTTTTATTTTTTTCGTTTATAGTTTTCAGTCATGATTTCAGTGATGATGTCATAATTAGGACATTTTCTAATGATTCTCCGTTTTTATTGGTGTGGATGAGCTTCAGTGTGGGACACGTCACACATTTAACAAGAGGCAGAAAATCAAACACAATGATCGACTGTGGGCGAGTCCCATAGTCGATACGGACCTTCGATGATTTCCTCAGAGATTTCAGAGTCATCAGAGTACGACGCAGCGCTCCCTGTGACCAGCTGTCCTTCAGAGACGTCAGACTCTCTTTCATCGTCCTCTTCCTCTCCGGCACCTTTGGACAAAACCTGAAAAAGGTGGGGGACAGGTGAGGACAGGTAGGGAATGCAGGTAAACCATTAATTATTGATTCCTTATAAGGTCAAACCTGTTTTAAAGAGAGTTGGGGTGATGGTTTCTACCTGGAGTGTGTGTGCAGGTTACCTGTACAGGTGCTGCAGGTAGAGTCTCCGCCTCCCGGGCCGCTGAGCTCGGCGCGTCCAGCTGAAAGAAGGAAAAACAGAAAAACATCAAACTCCACGTGTTGTTTTATCCGATCTCCACCTGAGCCCTGAATGCACCTGCTGAGCTGCAGGTAAACTCCTCCCTCTCTGATCACCTGACAGAGGCAGTGCCTCTCACCTGTTGGTTGGCGGCTGTCCCTTCTACAAATGTGACTTTTTTGGCAGGTGGCGTTCCCTTCATCTGAGTCTTCAGTCTTGGTTTGGGCAGCGGGGCCTGAAGGGGGAAGCATCCAGAGAGGTGAGGGAAGAGCACACCTGGACCGAGTCACAGGTGAACATCTGCTGAAGCCACAGGAAGGCCACAGCCTTCAGGAGGAACAGGCTCCTCAGGGAATTATGGGAATCGCTCGATTGTTGTGTTTAAATTCGCAGAAAAGGAGAAAAAAATCGAAAACATTTTCAGGCCATTATTAAATTTATCATTTATGTTTGGGTCATCTGGATGACCTCACCCGAGATTCGGCGCGATGGCGGCGGGCCTCCTTGCCCTCCGGCTGTTGTTTGGCCTCTGACGCTTCCTCCACAGGAGTAAACCTGGGCTCGTCCTCCATGGCGTCCATCGGGTGGATGTAGGAGACCTTCCACTTCAGAGTCACTTCGATGTTCCCGGCAGGGAGTCCAGAGGGATCGGCCAGCGAAAACACACCTGAGGGAGCAGAGCAGGTTACACGTGCTCACTCACACCTCATCGAGCTGATCCTGAAACATTTCCTCAGACAGCAGCAGTGTGAGGCGTTTGGTTAACTTTAGATTTAAGACGTTTAAACCATTAAAACACTTTTCGCTGTTTTATTGAAAACCCTGGAGCCTTCATCAGGAGCTAAAAATGAAAACATCGCCTGTCCAGTTTATTTAAAACCAGTGTAAAGTGTGTATGTCCATGTTCAGGTAATGACGGTGAGAAAGAACCCCATTTTAACAGGTCACGCTGCAGCTGAACACTGAAGCTGCACCTGCAGGCGAACAGTGTGCTACAAACACCTGACTCACCTGTGAGGCTCTCGTCGTGGGTCAGCGTCCTCAGAGGGACTCGGGCCTTCCCCAGGTACGTGTCCATCTGCTCCTCTTTGTAGTCGAACACGTAGAACTGAAGGAGCTCCGACTTCAGGTACCGGTCCAGGTCCGCATCCATCGAGACGGAGTACGACCTGAGGTCATGGAAGTCGGGGTCCTGGCGGTTGTGAACGGTGGCGGTGGGGTGGTCGGGGAAGTGAAAGAACTTGTAGACGACATAGGGGCTCGGCTGCCAGGAGCCTCGCGGCTGAAGGCCGGAGCAGCGGCGGACGGTGATGAAGAGCTCGTTCCAGTCGCCGGTCGTTGGCGGAGGCTGAGGAGAAACGACACGAGTGAGAACCTTCACCTGCTCAGGTGTGTGTACACCGTGGGTGTATCCTCCTGCTCGTGTATCTGAGTGATGACGGGTGATGATGAAGCTCACCGCCTTCATCTTCTCTCGGTACAGTCGCAGCGTCTCCGTCATGGGCACCCTCAGCCTGAGCCAGAACTCCAAGGAGCCGAAGCAGCGCGCCTCATCACGCGACCCTGAAAGAGGTTTGCACACGAGCGTTCATCTGACGACGCGTTTTCATTGAGCATCACCGACAGTCGCCGAGTCTACCGTCAAGTACAGCCGCCAGCCCGCAGACCGCGTGGATCGGCCGTCACTGAGCTGGCTCGCGGGTCACACGCCCCTCATGACACACAGGAAGGTAAATATCCAGGTTGTGTCCTCGGCCCTACTCTCACCTTGTACATATTTGAGCTTAGAGCGGACATGAGGCGCTCCCCTTATAAAGGCTAATTTACATTAGATGTAACGTCATGTGGTTGGTTGCAGCTAACAGACTCACATTAGTTTATGTTAAGTCTGCTAGCCACAACCAACCAAACTCATGACGTCATGTTCTGTACTGACAGCAGATGGCGCTAAACATCTTTTTAAAGAAGCGTCTCTTCTTGCTCAGACCTCCACCTCCCTCTGAAGGTGGAGGAACAGCATCGGGATAGACGAGCTCTCCAAAGAGCGGTGCGCTCTGCTGGAAGCACCGCTCGCTCAGAGCTCCCTGACCTGCAGTGTGTCCACACCGAGTGGTGCTGGACTGGACTCTCTACACTGCTCATGCACTTAATAACAAAATAATGTACTTTAGTGATGCACCCGGTAACGGTTGTTCACTGCTCGCTGTCGGTCTGCACCTGTTCAGTGTTGTTCTTGTGTCTGTGTGTGTCTGTGTGTGTCTGTGTGTGTCTATGTGTGTGTCTGTATTTGTCTGTGTGTGTCTGTGTGTGTGACAAATGAAACATGGACTCTGTCAGTGAGCCTGAGCCTTTACACGAGCAGCTCTTTGGCTGTCTCTCAGTCTGTGCTTATGTCAGTCTCTCCCTCCCCCCACAGACCAATGACTCACCGACGAGCGCCACGCTGCCGTGAACCTTCCCGTCCTGTTCCAGCAGCTGCTGCAGACGAAGCTCGCCAGCCGCCAGCGTCCTCCAGTCCAGACCGAGCGCTTCGTGCAGCTCCACCCTCACCGCGCCCCGGTGGAGGTAGTCGAGGAAGCGTTCGTCCACGCTAACCACGTACTTAGAAGTAAAGTTGTATTTTGGACTGCGGCCCGTCACCACCGGTGTGGCGTGCAACTCGAACACGTAGAAAGCGTACGTACAGAAGGTGGCGGGCTCAGCTTCGCCCCGCATCTGCAGGGCAGAGCCAGACAGCGTGACGCCTACTATCTGAAGCTCCAGCAGGTTTTCTCCACTCTCCAGGTGAAGCGCTTCGCCAGATTCGTCGGCCTCGTCCTCGGCTGTGGCGTCCGCTTTGACGCTGTAGGTTTTGGTCCCGTAGGCGATGTCTCTGAGCTGAGCTGCGGAGCAGAGAAACCTCATCATCAACGGTTCATTTATTCTTTAAACTGAACATCAGCAGGAGAACTGGATGGATGCTTGGGTGGGCGGGAACCTTCCAGTTTCCTGATCTTCGTTGCCCTGGCGTCCAGCAGCTGAGCCTGGCGTTCTAGCTTCTGCTCGTACTCGAGTTTGTCGGCGTCCATCTTGCGTAGCGCGGCGTCCAGCTCGGCCTGCAGCCACAAGAAAGGAAATAGATTCTGCTCAGCACAACAAACGTGATCAGGTTCCACTCTGACCCCTCCCCTTGCTGCTTTACATACAGTAAGAATAAAAGTGGGCGGGTGTGTTTGCTCCACCTTGTAGCCTTGGCTGATCCGGCTCTCCGTGCTCAGGAGGCTCCGGGTCTTTTCCAGCTCCTGGATGGTTTCGGCGTGAGCGGCTCGCAGCTCCTTAATGGCGTTTTCCATGCTGGTGCCGCCCGTTTCCTCCTCCGCCTCCCTCAGGAAGTCCAGATCTCCACTCCTCTGGGATTTACGTGTCTGATAGACGATGATGTTACAGACAAAAGGCGAGACGTGAGACTGAATCTGGGCTGTGTATGATCGCAGTAACGACGGCAGCGGCGTGTGACGGGCACTCACTTTGACGAGCAGCAGCGCCTCGGTGAGTTCGGCCACGTCGTAGTCGCTCCCCTGTGAAGAGCACGGTGATGTCACACACACCAAACCTGCAGCAGGCGAGAGGATTTGATTCATCTGCTCACCCGACTGTAAAACTTGAGCTGCTCGTTCAGTTCCTCCAGCTGCTGCTTCTGCTGCAGGAACTGCACCTCCAGCTTCTGATTTGCTTCTTTCAGCTTCTCGTTTGTGTCTGAAAAACAATCAGAGGGAGGAAATCGGTCGCCACGTTCACCCTCGGCGCTCTCACGGGACACGGAGCGGTCTTAATGGGCAGGTAGGGGGCGTACCCGTACCTCTCTCGGCCTTGACTTTGTCGAGGATCTCGTTTTTGTCGACGAGGTCGGCCTTGAGCGCCGTCTCCAGCTGAGAGATCTGAAGCTTCAGCCGCTGCTCCTGAAGCTGCCATTTCTCCTGCTGAGAGACGTCAAAGGCGCTGCAACGAAAGGAGGAGGTGACGGAGGTCAACCTGGGCCAGGTAAGACTGAAACGTTCATGGACAAACGGCCCTCACAGCGCCGCGGCGTGTCTTCGCCTCCCTTCTGCTCACCTGTTCAGCAGCTTCTCGTTGCTGTCCTTCAGCAGGTCTCTGTCCTGCTCCAGCTCGCCGATCCTCTCCTGCAGCTGAACGCACACACAGGCAGGTGAGCCACCACACCTGCACAGCAGCACACCCCTACAGCGGACTCGGGCTCACCTGCTCCATCCTCGTCCTGGAGACGCTGGCACTCTGCAGCTGCTTCTCCAGCTCCAAGCGCTTCAGCCGCTCGTTTTTCAGATCCGCCGACAGCTCGTCCACCTTCGCCATCGCCGCTTCATGACTGAGCTTAAGCGTCTGCTGACTCTGCAAAACAAACGCCGCCGCTGTTAGCTCGCTCTGTGTACACACCTGACACCTGGTCTTGTTGATCTCGTCAGGCCAGCTGTGTCTGCAGATGTGTGTCAGTGCCATAAGGTGGAATTATAAACGGGAGGTTAGTCACATGATCTTTGAGCTCATCATATCCAGCTCTGGTGTTTCGTCCCTACTCATCTGCATGATTCACAGTTTAAAACAATGCTGTGCACTGAATCAAGCCCCTCCCCTCTTAAGAAATCTTTCTCCTGATTGGCTGCAGAGGGATTTGATTGCGCTTGAAGTCACAGCGTTGCATAGAAAAGTGCGATAATTTGTTCTCTCACAGACAGAGAAGATCAGTAGTGATTACTGGATGTTGATCTTGGTGCTGCAGGGTTTCAGGTGGGGGAGGAAGAGGAGGAGGCCAGGAAACGTCTCACCTCCTGCAGCTGCAGGTATCGCCCCTCCAGCTCGGCCACGGTGTTGGATCTCACCGCCAGCTGCTTCTGCAGTTTGATCAGCGTCACGTTGCTGTTGACGTGCGTCCTGACAGGAAAAAACAAAGATTCATCCACAACCTCGACCTCGAGCACAGCTTTGAGTGAAGAGGTGACCACAGAAAGCGATTATTGTGAATGACGGACGCCTCGCCACAGCACGAGCTCATCTTCTGCCCTGATACGGTGAAAGCTGTTGGACTGAAACCGTGAGAAACAGGCTCTGGTGCTCCCCTCCAACAAAAACCTGAGACCAAAATATTCTCACTGGTTTTATTTAGATGGATTTTCATTTACTCAAACATAAACGACATTTTTGATGAAATAACAGGAAACATCAGAACGAGGCGCCGCTCAGCTTTACGGAAGGCTTCGTATTTAAAACCAGCAGCTCGTACCTCAGTTTGGAGCTCTGCTCCTGCCGGACCTGCAGGAGTCTCTCTTCATACTCGGCCTCCTTCCTCCTCAGCTCCTCCCTCAGCAGCTCCGATGCACCTTCCAGCTCCTCCATGCGGCTCCGCTGGGACTCGATCACATTCTCTCTGCGACACAAACATGGCGCGTCACAATCAATGAGCTTCTGAAAATGAGGGACTGTGTGTGTCACGACCTTATTTAAACCCTCCCGCTAAAGCTGCGAGTCTGCACTTCACTCACAGCGTGAATCCAGTAAAGAACTACAAAAACTGTCATTTATAAATCCTCAGGAGGAAGCTCTGTGGAGCCTTAGTTACTCTTATCTTCCTGTTTCAGTGGCGATGCCAGCTAGGAGGACACGGTAAATATTTGTGAGGAGTTTCAATGACTGATGTAAAATACCACCTTTAATAATATCCTTAATATCCAGGATATGTACTGTGTCCACCGAAAAACTGTTTAAACACCATGAAACAGTTTGACCCTATTAACAGCAAAGACCTGGAGGACATCTTAGGTCAACTGAACTCCTCCTCCTGCTGTTTAGATGTCCTGCCAACAAGTTTGTCTTGACAAGACACAAATGAACAACTACAGGCCGATCTCAAATCTCCCATTTTTAAGTAAGATCATTGAAAAAGCAGTTTCTCAACAGCTCAGTTACTTCTTAAAACAGAATAACTGCTACGATGCCTTCCAGTCAGGTTTTAGACAGAACCACAGCACTGAAACCGCTCTGACCAAAGTGTTCAATGACACATGTCTGAACACAGACAGTGGAAAAATGTCAGTCCTAGTTTTACTGGATCTCAGTGCAGCATTTGATACAGTTGACCACAACATATTACTCAAACGACTGGAGAACTGGACAGGTCTTTCAGGAACTGTACTAAACTGGTTCAAAACATACGTAGAAAACAGGAAATACTTTTGTTACGATTCGATGTTGTCAGTGTTTTGTTTTAGGCGTGACTGTTATGCGTTTCCTGTTTTACTTTGAAGGTCTGTCTTATCTCAGTGTGTTCAGTTTACGCTTCCTTGTCTCGTCAGTTCTGATTTGCCCCAGCTGTGTTTCCCTCCTGTTGTCCATTCCCTGATTGCTCCCTCTATGTATTTAAGCCCTGTGTTTCAGTTTGTCATGGTCTTGATTTCCCCCTGTGTTGTAAATAGTTGTTGATACTGTTTTTACTCGGTAGGGGTGAGAAGCCATTTTTCTTTGGGAACCTTTTCTACTGTTTTTGGTTAGGGAGGCAGGTAAGACACCTGTAATTTTTGTTTGGGGTTTTCTGTGAAGGTAAGCCAGCTGCATTTCATTTCTAGAGTTTTTGTTTGTTGTTTTGGCCATGCTCACCCTGATGCCTGCTACCTTTTGGGACTCAAACTGACTGGCTGTTGTGAAATCCGTGGTAGCTGTTTTTTGTTGGTTCGTCCTCCTTAAGAGCAGGGAGTGGGGGGGCTTTTTTCCTTATTTTTATTTTCCTTATGTCACACGCCGGTTCCCTGGGCTGGGGTGTAACACTTTCTATCAATAGGTAACTTCACATCTGAGCAGACAAGTATCACATGTGGAGTTCCCCAAGGTTCCATCTTGGGACCCC